ACAAACTTTTTGAACCTGTCAAAAAAATGAAAAACTATTCAAACACTAATATAAACAGGACTAATATAAACATGTGTATATATATATGTGCAAGTGCTTAGTCACATTACCTAAATACAGGGAAAATCATAAGAAAAAGAAATTTTCAATGTTGGGAAGTTTGAAAGTTTTAACTATTTAAGAGAGAGAGAGAGCCCAGATTTCAGAAAGTGAAAAAAAAAAAATAATAATAAATGGTAAAAAAAAGGGAAATGGTCAGTTTCCGTTTTCTACGACCGCGGCTGGAGAGGACGGCGACACCACCGGCGGGCACTACCGTGGCTAGAATCGACGGGAAGCTAAGGGACGGGGAGAGTTGGTGGGCTTACCAGTCGCGGATTGTGTCTCCAATTTGGGGGAGATTTGGGGATAAGGTGGGAAATGGGGACAAATTAAGTGTAGTGGGCCGGATTGTTTTTTCCTTGTTGGGTCGGGTCTTTGCCATGTCATCAAATTCAAAAAACTGTGAATCTTACTGTGATCCATGACTGTAAGACCAGCAAAATCCATGTTTTAAATCCATATCATGTGTTTTGATACTTGATCATAATTCAAAATATCTTTGCTTAGTACGACTCACATTTTCAGACCGGTACTTGGCTACTGAGTCCAAGATAGCCCATTTTACTTCCAACCATGTCGGCCATACAAAACCTGACCCACTTGACACCTCTAGTTTTGAGTTAATGGATTAGTTCTCAAGTATATAGTAAAATCTCAATAAATTAATATTTTTTCTTAAATTAATAAAATTCTTCGTCCCGACTTGGACCAGTTTATTAAATTAATAATCCCGTTAAACACATTTGATAATAATTTTTTTTAGATCCTTTGAGACCCAACGAATATATAAAACAATAATTGTTTAAATTCTTAAGAGCTCATGCTAATAACTGTAGATTTATGCTCTATGTATACATGAAATAACTTGAACAATTATCTTCCAAGATATTAGACTTTGAAGTCAATACGTGTACATTTATGTTTCCTATTTAATGTATGTATAAATTTGAATTTCACCACATTCAATTTTTTTTTTTTTTTTAATTTCCTGTATATATTATGATAAAATATAATACAAATTTTAAAAATATTGAATGCTCTATAAATTAATAAATATTCATTTATTGATAAATTAATAACCCTCTTAAAATAATAATTTTTCTTAATCCAAAGATTATTATTTTATAAAAGCTTTACTGTACATTTCTATTTTTCTTCATGCTTGCACATGATTGGAAATTTAGAAGTTCATATTCAATTGCATTTGGTCAACTTTTTGAGATATTATGGGTTGAAAATTCTAATCAAATCGAATATATCGACCCCTATGAGATTCTCAAGCCTAATGGCTGTGTTCAAGGTCAAGTGTATCCAATACTGTTTGACTTCTAAAATCCAGCTGATAATCTAATTAGGAATCTTGGTTCATACATAAATGTTCAGTTTCTACCAACTGAATTTAGCAGTTCTCAGGTGGTAATAATATCAAATCAAATGTCAGCTAACCTTTTTCTCAAACCTAACCAGCATTTTGTCCCATAATTCCATCTTCCTTAACCTTCCTGATACTCTAATATGACAGAAAGTCAGAAACCTCCGACCAGAGAATACATATATATATATATAATGGCGGCACCCTTCCTAGAACTCGTCCAGAGAGCTGAAACCACATCAAATTTCATAACCATTTCAACAGAAACCCACTACTAAAAATGACATTTCAAAATCAGGAATACTTGTTCAGAGTTTAGCGCTGAACAATAAAACCAGATACCAATGAAGGCAAAAACATAGAAGCCTTTATAATAAAATCCATAATGCATGTATGTACCTCTCAAATGACCGGGGCCTGCCACAGACCGGCATATTCCTAGGATTGTAAAAGTGGCGGCCTGGCACAGATCCCAGCCACAACACCGTAGGACCACTTCTACGCCTCTAAGTCAACCTCGTCCCAGGATCTCTTGGTCAATTGCCAAAGCTAAAGATAAACCTAGTCTACATAATCATATAGAATACCAGATGCTTACCTCTGCTTTCTAAGTTTCTATGACGTCTTGAACCTTGGAAATCAATAATCACATTTTAGAGGCCTCAACAAGCATTTCAACAGGAACCACCAATCTTTCCTTGCTTTTAAGAATGGTACAGCTACAAGGATATTATTCTTTACATTCACAACTGTTAAATTATTCCTCTTTTTTTCAAAATATTTACGATAAATAGAGAGGTTGTATTGCTCATATACTGCCTTGGAAAACTATAATTTGCTGTGGGGGCAGACTCAATACTCCTCTGCACATAAAAACCGCAATTATGCAATGAGATCAGATGAACTGATAAGGATTGAGAATCAAGACAAGTTGCGCAATTTTGGCACTAATGCATGAGGTGTAACCACGATACAAATAAGGGTAACACAAATAACATGATGAATTAGTAAGGAGCTTCAAGATACACCCCAAATATACACACCCACCAGGTCACCACCCAGTTGAAATATTAACATAATTTCTCCATACACCCCCACTGCCACCTTCCTCCATCACTGCAACCTCCACCCATCACCACAACCATAGAGTTTGGGGTGTTAGGGGTTGGGAGGAGGAAAGGGTTAGGGAGCAGTCGAAGTTAGGTGGACAGAGAAGGGGTGGAGCAGGCAAAGTTATGGGGACAGAGAAGGGTGGTAAAGTTGTGGGTTGGAAGGTGGTTAGGAGTGGGGGTCACATGGTAGGGGAGGTGCAGGTTTGAAGAGAGATGAATGATAAGAAAATATAATTAGAAAAGAGTAAGATTAACAGTTAAATGATGGTCTAGACAAGCTCCAATATGCAAAGACACGTCAATCATCTGCTCAAAACAGAAAAAGAGCAATGTTTTGATTATCAATTTTACAAGATAAAGGAATGGTGATCGGTCACATGTAGTGGCTATTTTAATAACTCATATATCCATTAAATGAAAAATTGATTCAACAATGCCTACTTCAAAAAGATGATGAGTTAACTTCGAAACATTTTTTATTTATTTTAGGATCCTACAGTCAAATAGGCTAAAGCTGATCACATGTAACAAGAATATTGCTACAGATTATTCTTAATATGAACCTAATTTCCCATCATACAAGTTGCATCCTCACCATTGTGTACATAGCAAACTCAAGCATGAAAATCCATACATCTTTGGCATCAGTGGATGAATCAAAATCGCAAACCGAATGTAGTTAAGCAAGAACAATTTCAAAATCTAATTGACCTCTTCTTTGAGGGGAATAGTGAAATAAAAAGGTAAACTGTACGCAAAAGTTATAATTCCATCTCCATTGCATTCGAAAATGCATCTGAAAGTGATAGTTGAAACCTTAAGCATAAAAAGACATGATGTAACATAGATGAAAAAAAAGAGAATTGCTTTTAAGGTAAAAGAATAAGAAATCACACAAAGGAAGAATAACAATAACACCCATGCTAATCTTATTCTCCACAAGAATAAAATATACAAAATCTACTAGGTAAGCATGTTGGAGGCCCGATTAATTATCTCAACTACGAATTATTCACTCTGAAACAAAATATCAACCTACTTATTATATACAATAGCAGGAGGCAACACCATTCAAACATATCTTATGGGTTGCAAAAGTTGACAAGATTAAGGAGCTTCTTTGACACTCTTATTTGTTTGAGTGTGTAGTTCAGGTCTTAATGGCAGTTCTTTAATCTCAACTGGAATACAAAGAAACTGATAAAACAATAGTCAATTCTAAATAATACGAGTCTCTGGGATTAGCATATCTACCCTGAAAATATAGAAGTTAACATTTGTTTGACTCATGCAAGTGGATAATCGTTTCATTCCATTTGTAGACTCTGGTCACTTAAAAAATATTTGGATGATACACAGCACAATCAGTTTCAATTTCTATGAATGACAAGAAACGTAGAGCATACACAATGATATAGAATACCAGCTGCTTGCATCTGCTTTCTGTAATTTCTTAGAACCTTGGTGTAATTACATTTTAGAGGCCCCAACAAGCATTTCTACAGGACACAAGAAAGTAAGTTTCCTTCACACTATAAGCATGGTACAACTAGAATGATATTATTTACATTTACAACTGTTAAATGATCCATTTCAAAAAATCAACTTACAGTAAGTAAAGAGGTTGCCTGCGCTAGTATACTAGTTTGGCAGGTTTTAGGTTTTACAACTTTACAAAATAAATTCCCCTTCACAATCTTACAATGATTTTAGGAAGTCAGATGCATTTTTTTTTTAATCCTATTTTGTTTTGCCTTGGCTTGACATTTTGACTAGGAAAAAAATGAATTTTGAATTCAATTTTTAGTAAAAAAAAATGTCAAGCCAAAACAAAACAGGAAAAAAAATGATTTTTGAAGCTATATGATAGCACCCAATTTTTCCAATTCGGCGGTTCGGTCTATGATTTATCATTCATCAATTTTGATTCGTATGTAGGGATGCTGAGATTCCATTGGGATTTGCATAGAGGAGCACCTTACGATATCCATGATCAATTGGATCCCCAAGTACTTAGTAAAAAATGTCAAGTCGAAACAGCCAAAACAAAACAAAATGGGGGGAAAAATAAAAATTAAAAAATGAATTTTGATCAAAATATATTTTGATAAAAAATCATTTTTTTATTTTTTTTTCCCTATATTGTTCATAGTACCCGACATACTCAAAAGTAGAAAAATAAGAGAATCTAATATACTTCATCACAACACAGAAGTCAATGATCGGAAAAATTAGCAACTATTATATTACTAAAATTGAAAAGCATGAAAAAATTCAAAATAATGTTACTTTTTAGTATCTCTAGTAAAAGATTTTACATTTGTTTCCACCACATTGGAGCAGGAATAACATGTACATAGTTACCTTTGAAGAGAACAAAAATATCGTTGGGCACAGAAGAGTTGCTACCATCATCACCATCTTCTAATCAACGATGTAAGCAACTGAAACAAATAAATTTATGTTCTCTATTAGGTATCAGCACCTAATACAAATGATGCTTATAGTAATAATTTCTAATTCATAATAGAGCAGATGCTTATGAGAAAGACTAAAGGAGTATGCTAAAAATTTGATGTGGTAAAGTTTCCATAGTTTCCAGATTAAAATTCCATTCGGTAAAAGTGTACAAGAGAGGGTTCAAATTTACAAACGAGTGTCAGCTGAAAGAAACAAGTGTCATCTGAAAGAAGTTGTTTTTTCATGAGTTTAAACGCCTCACAAGGTCTTGTCATAAAATGAATAAAGTGATAAAGATCTAAAGAAGATAAAACATTATTTTGGTTTGTAAGTTCTGGTCAAACAGGGAAATACAGACCTCAAGCAATTCAAATGGGCTGCCACGCTTGTATACGTCATTCTTCTTAGCATTATTATTGGGGAAAATGCTGAAAAGTAGTGTTCTCCATCCAATAAGTAATACAGCAGTGCTTCCCATTGTCACTAATATAAAATTGGTTGGTGGTGTATGGCCAATTGTTATTGCCCTTATGATTATTCCTAACTGTAGTGCAAGAGAAGCAAAATAAAAATGAAGTTCAAATGTGACGTAAACAGAAAATCATAAACGTTCACATGCATCAGATAAGACCTACAAATAAAAATTAACATATATCCCCCAATAAGAAGTTGCTAGATCACAGGTGGCCACCTTTGTACATATTTCCAAGCTCATCATTATTCATATCAATAGAACAGTTAATCATGGGCTGGGAACAAGCTACAATTGAGCTTGATGTCCAGAAAAAGAGTTTTCGTATTAATCATAATTTGGTACATCCAAATAAGTGAGTGTATATACAATTTGGAATTGAAAGACTAAAGAGTATCGATAAAAATGTACAAAAGAACAAGGAATTTCTAATTCTCAATCCTTTTCAAAGACAAGTATGAAATTATGTCCATGTAATTAAGCAAGCATGGATAATGTCTCAATGGATTCAATGTAATATATTACCCAAATTGCTTGTTGTATCAGCAACTTTAGGCACTTTGAGAAACAGGAGCTTTATGTTTATTTATTACAATTCTGATATGCCACTTAAGTATCTGTGTACAAGTACTGCATGCATAAATTCGCAAGCTAGAAACTAGAAACAAATGGTAGATACATGAGAACCCTTAAAAGTCAGTCCTAATTGAAGGATAAAATGGAAAAATCTGCACCCATCATTTTCTTTAATATGTTGTGAGGCATAGATATAATAGATTTGTGCATAGCTATGTATAAGCTCATAGATATACTTTAATATAATTGTTTGCCACAATGTAATTGCACTTAGAGGAGAAAATCTCAGTTGAGATTCAGTCAACATTAGTAATTAAGAATTCGTGATTACGAGAATCTTCTTTGGTTACTGAAGAACATATCAATGGATGTGGTGTGTATGCAACATCCAAAAGATTTGCTACTATCATAATTACCTAAGAACGCATTTATACAAATCATGTGTACACACACCACTCATTAGATTAAAAAGGGCGACAAGCGCATACAACAATAATTCTTCCAAAGCTTACCCTGAATGTATATTTTACAATGATGTTGAATGATTTGACAGGCCAATAGTTGGATTGCTCTAAGCTGCTATTGTATTGTATTATGTATATGATTTGATACTTATTACTTGATCTGGATTGTGCTTAACAAACTATCGTAATCAAGCATTTATATAAGGTATATACAGTAATTTGATTCATGTATTTTCAAATCTTATTTGCTTCCCCGTGTATACAGATCATTTTAGCGTCACGAAGTCATCACATATATTTGTTAAACATTGTCCTATCTGCAGTTCACCTCTATCATATCAACATAGTAATTTAGTTTTGAAGGGGACGAGTTGTGATGCTTGGACCCTTCTTTTTGGCCGGCCTACCCGTGTCGACACAATATGACACGGGTACGGGTATGAAATACGGGATGGACACGGCCAAGGAAGAACCTTTTGAACTTCACGCCACCATTGTTGCAGAGACAGAAAGTCGCGTTTTAGGGAAGAAGAAGGGGTGTTACACTTGGGCCTGTTTTTTGTTTTAATTTTTGGACCTTTTGGGCTTTTTTTTTTTAAAAAAAAATTATCCATTGTGGTTGAAGTATACTTACATTGGTTGGGTTTATTTACCTTTTTCTTCGAATTTTACAGCCTTATTGGTTGAGCAAATTACATGAGATTTATTATTTCTTAAATATGCTTTTTGGTTAATTTGATCTAGATCAGGTCATTTTAATTTATATATATATCATAGTAAATGTTGTCATAAATTTTTTAAAAAAATTTAAAATGTGATTTTTTTTTTGGCCAAAATGATTGGCAGATAATTATAAAATCAACATAAGTAAATGTTTTAGAACAATTTAATAGCATTTTCTGAAATTAATATTTTTTCAAAACTTGACAAAATAAAAGTAATCAAATAATAATTGATTAATCAAACAAAAAGGCTCGTCACTAATCGATTCATCGTCTATTTGAAACTTAATTAATTTGTCGTGTATCTACGGCAATAGTCGATCTTATACTATTTTTGTATTAAATATTTTTTCAAAACTTGCAAAAATAAAAGTAATCAAATAATATTTTTGATTAATTCTTTTAACAATTTGCAACTTAATTATTATTTAACTTTTTANCCAAACATCATAGGGTACGAGTAAATAAAATATTTTGGATAAAAAGATTTAAGCATTTTTGCTTCCTTTTAAACCGTTACGCTCTTTTAACTTCAAGTAGAACCTTCAATGCTTGCAATAAAACTCTAGAATTCCAACACCACTTACACTCTACAATTTTTGCAACCAACCAATCTCATTTATCTTGTCTTCACCATTGTTCATATCTCAAAATTTATTGAGATCATATAGCATGTTAAGGTTTATATTTGTTGAGCTCTATTTGGATCTAATATTTCCCCGAGTTTATTTATTTCCCCAAAATGATGGGTGTTTTGTTAACAAAAAAAGATAGAGGTGTATAGAAAACTCGTTTTCACTTAGTACTAAAGGATGGATCATGTCAACAAGTCTCGAATGAGTTCATCTTGTTTAGATATCCCAAAGTAACAATTACAGGCAGTAACCTAATTATAGATTCCTCAAATTATGGATGTGATGCAAATACCCTATAGATGATTACGAAGATCTCTCTCCATCCCTTATTCTATTTATGCTCTCCATCAGCCATCAAATCATGCATACTCTACAACCCCATAAATCAAGCCTTATTTATCTGTCGTGAAATCAGACATAATCACCATGGTCATCCAAACCTTTTCACCTAGTACTCTATATAACCAATATCATGTTCACATCAACTGCTGCTCAAAGTCATCAAGTAAACCTTTGTATTGACTTGTTCAGAAGAGTACGAAGTATTCTAATTAAGGATTTTTTTTTAATTCATTGGATAATGATCAATATATTAAACTTAAGTACACAGTTAGCAAGCACTATTCTGATATTCAATAACCCAAGTCACTGAAGTGCTGTCACCAACTCCGCACAAAAACAAAAGAAAAGTGGGACAGTTAAGACACTTTTGCTCACCAATTTTTTTTACATGTAGACACAAGAAATGTAAATTTGTAAATAGCAAGGGAGTTGGATATGAAATTGCAATGACTTTTGTGAAGGCACTTTCTTATGAGCTTAGTAACCTTTGACAAAATCAATCTATTGAAACCATGATCACGATCAAGTATGTAAATAAACTGATAATATAAGTGGATAGAAAAGCCTTTATGTTACTATTTTCTATCAGGCAAAAAAACTAAAGTATTATCATCAGCCCAATCAGAAAAAATAAATAATAAATAAAAAAGACAGTTCCATTTTTACAAGTACACACAAAAATGTAAATTGATAAATAAACAGAGAGAAAGAGAAACTTGAATAACGAAATGGACTTACTGGAATACCCAAGGACCATGATTTGGCAGCAGCTGTAACAGCATTCAACTGACCATTCATACCTCGACCATCCTCACCATAACCTCCAAGGAAATATGCACTCAGAAACCACCCTACCACCAATAAAGGCCACAGATCAAAGAATACATAATCCAACACTATACACATATCTATTGTCCACGCGGACTAAACATATAATTGAAGTAATGAGAAACAATGGTAACATATTCCATCAAGAAAATTATTAAGCCTACCAGCAATAAAAGGGTCCGCAGTTTTCAGTGTTTCGAAGTTGAAAACAGAGAATCCATGACTGAACCTTCCAATTGCAGAGAACAAAACCAATGCCGCCACATCCCCACCAGCTAGCAGAGCCACACGGCTACAATAATTCCAATTCAATTCAACATAAAAAGCTCTCAATAGAAGACAAATTCAAAACAAAAGATAAAATAATAAAAAAATTCACGCACCCCCACTTGGCGAGACGGGAATCGGAGTTGGGTTTTTCGAACTGAATAACACCTTCAAGAGGGACACTTTCTTGGCCCACAATAGATATTGGCTCTTCTCCACTGAAGGGGATAGAGGCAGTGGCAGGACTGGGCTTGGTGGCAGCAGAAGGGCCGCTGCCTGAAGGCTCGGCGGCGTTAGCTAGGGTAAGGGGCTTAAGCAACCTGTTTTGGCGTGAGAAGTTGGGGCGGCGCTTAGTGAACAAAGGTGGAATTGGGTGGGTGAATTTGAGGGAAGATTGTTGTGTGGCGGAGATTAAGGCTCCTCCGGCGGGAGCTTGGGTTAGCAGAGGCACCATTGCTTTGATTTTGTCGCCAATAACAAGTGACAATCGGCTTTATAGTTGGGTAACGTGCATGTGGCCACCAATATTCTTCTAAATTTCCAATAAACGTCCATACGTTAACGTCCTCACGCTTCGAATTTTTTCATTTTCACCTATATTTCAACGTTTCATTCTAAAAACGTCATTTTCATCAATTTTTATCCAATATCTCAATTAAAAATTGTAAAATGATAATTATACCCTACTGTTTAAATAAAACAAAAGAAAAAAATAAAAAAATAAAAAACAAATTGCAATCATATTTCCATTTCTTAAAAAGAAGTACAAATAAATCCCAAAAACAATTATTAAAAAATCAAAAAATAAAAGAAAAATCTTCTCCCTCTCCCTCTCCCTCTCCCTCTCCCTCTCTCACCCCCACCCCCACTCCCACTCCTCACCCTTACCCTCATCACGAAATGAAACCAAAATATAGATTGAAAAATACTAGGAGATGTAGAAATACTAAAAATCTATCTCTCATATTTCTTACTAAATGATGTAGAAATACTTAGATCGATTTTATGATTAAATAAAAGAGGGTCATTGTTCTCGTTATTGTCAGTGGCATTGTTCTTGATTCCACAAGCTTTGTTGAATGAGGATGACTTTTCTGTAGGTGGCACTCAAAGTACTTGTAATGGGGCAATACATCTCTTGAGAACCTCTATTTCTTGTCATTTTCGCTCGTACCTTTCTAAATAACCAATCACTATACTCAAACACCAATATCAACAAATATCTTTTTAAAATCCACATCTAATCGAGTACCAAAAATGTAAAAAGAAGAAATCATCGAAGAAAAAGAAGACTAGCAGAAAAAAGAAGATTAGTAAGCACAAGGGTGAAAAATGCAAAAGTTTGAAACATAATGATGTTTTGCATACTAAAAGTCAAACATATGGACGTTTTGTGCTAATAAGCCCTATAGATCATGGCTCGTCTTTCAAGCTCCTTCCTTTGAACAAATGTAAAAGAATTCCCCTTATTTATAGTCAATTCATTCCTACTGGGGCTCACACAACAAAGCAAAATCAACTTTTGATTTACATAACAAGAACAAAGAAATGGTGATTTAGTTACTCGAGGATTTGGAGGTGGTAGCTGTGGAGGGAGAGGGAAATGGGGAAGAAGAAATTTTTTTTTATTTAATTTTTTTGTACTTTTAAAAATATGGGAGTATGATTGCAATTTTTTTCTTTTCCGTTTATTTATTTAAATATGAGGGTATATTTGTCATTTTATAATTTTAAATTGGATAAAAATTGATGAAAATGACATGTTCCACAATGAGACGTTGAAATAGGGGTGAAAGTGCAAAAATTTGAAACGCGAGGGCGTTTTGCACACTAAGAGCAAAACGTGGGGGCGTTTTGTGTTAATAACCATTTCCAAAATATAGTGATTGTTTTGATACCAATTAAAATTTAAATTAAGTCAATCATTCATTTTAACTATATATTTTATGAGTCCCACAACTTTTCAACTATACATTTCATCAACTTTTATCAAAATTTATTAAAAATATGATATTAATCCCTATAAAAAAATGCATAGTCTACGTATAAATAAGTTTATTTTTAATAGCACGTTTGGTTGGGCCAAAGAAAAAAAAGTTATTTTATAAGTAAAATAGTACCTTAAAATTAGCTCATATGCCTGGATGCTCTGTATTTAGCCCTTGTTTGACACATATTTTCATCCCATTCCCTTTCTCATTTTTTTTCTCTTTCTTCATTTCAACCATACATTCTATCAATAAAATAATATTACACATAAGTCAAAAAATTCTCCTTACTTTTTAACCACACATTCTTCTATTAATCACTATTCCAGAATTTATTCTTTCTCCAAAATGGGTGTCAAACACAACCTTAATTCATGTTTGACAATCATTATTTGAAATTCTTTTTTACATACTCATTTTCCACCACACATTCACACAATAAAATATTCTAGACGTAAACCTAGAATTTTTTCATACTTTTTAACCACACATTTCCCTAATAATCACTATTCTGAACTTTGTCTTTTCAAAATAATAATTGTCAAATAGGGTCTTAGAATTTGGTTGTTGCCAAATTACTGAAGCATTCTCAGTGTGTTTTACTTAAAGAATTTAAAACAAAGACAACTTTTTAGGAATTTTTTCATGACAGAAAAATTCATATCGGCTGGAAAATCATATTACATATCAGTTTTGTAACTACAGTAGAAATTTACTTCTTGTTGAAGAGTGTTCGAATTTATTAAGTTGAAAGTTTGGGATGATAAATTGATTAATTTAACTCTCATTTGGGCTCTATTAAAATGAGATTTTGGAGGAAAACACGTGTATTGACATACAAAAATGAGGCCCAATTATTAAGTAATGCCCAATTATATGGTCCAAGAAATGGAGCCCAGTTAAGGAAATTGAGGAATGTGCCCAAATGAGACCATTGTAAAATATAGTGATAGCTCATGGGCAGATGACTATCATCGCCCAAGCCTACAGAACGCCCAGGATCTGAACGAATGAAGTGCCCCATTGTCGCTCGGAACGATTGTCTCACTCTCGCCCAAACCTTCGAGAGGCCCAAGGTGTAGATGAATATAGCGTGTTGTTCAGTTATTGAAGTAGTTATTGAGCAACCTTATCACACTCCACGATCCAAGANAATCTCGGTTATAAGCGGTTAAATAACAAAGAGCACTAACAACAATAGCTAACGACAGTTCCTTGACAAGTCAGCCATCACGAAGAAAGTGTGTAGTTATATAGAGCGCTAGCAGTTTCCAAGCAGTTCTGTAAGAGAAAACCAGCAAATGAGTATAAAAAGGAAAAGAAGACATAGAAGGAAGGACACCCCGAATCAAAACTCTCAACAGAGAATATGTAATTTCAATTTACTTCCTATTTGCAAACTTTCAATTTACTTCATGTACTTGTGCCCCTTGGAGGAGTTTTGCTTCTTTCCAATTGTAATCTTAATAAATAAAGCACCACTTTTTGAGACTTTGTCTCAAGAGGTTTATTCCTTACACAATCATCTGAACCTTTCTTTTAATTGTTAGCGATAATCTGCGCGAAACAATCTGGCACGTCAAGTGGGACATTGGTGTTTGAGGATTTATAAAAATTTTGATAAAGAACTAGCAAGCCAAGGAGTAGTCCAGTCTGTAATCGAGCGATATGAGGAGTATCAAAGCTCCCCACGAACAGAGGGACCATACGTGCATTACTTGGGGAACAGAGGGACAAAGTCAAAGTAGCTATGAGCCAATGACGGAGTTGAGTCCTCGGACCATGTGCGCATTGCTTGGGGAACTCACACAGGATGTCGTTGAACATGTAAATCTACGAAATGTTCACAATATGGAAAGATTTACCCACAATGGGAACGCACATTATAACAACATTGTCAAATAACTAAACACGTTGAATGAGATCATGAATAAGTTAGTGAGCCAAATATGTCAACTAGTTATACCAATAGGGAATCACTTTCAAACCAGGATGATTATAGGACATAAGTCCCCACATAATTCCTCAGGTTTGAACCCAAGTGAAGGGTTAGAACCACCTTTCGGTCCGTCTACCTCAAACCAGGGGGTGTAGAATGCTAAATTTGAATGGTGGTAATGGGATGAAAAACCTGGGGGGTAACCCAAATATTAGAGACAATGTCCTAAATAATGGACAGAATACCCCGCGTGTTAATGATGGAGTAAACACTCATGCTAACGGTGGTAATGGCCTAAACAATAGCAATTTTGTTGCCAACCAAGGACCAAATATTAGACCTCAAGTAAATCAACCAATGAACCAATCTGTAGGAGTTCCATATGATCCTAATGTCCTGTTGAGGAATCAAATTATGGAAATAGTATATGATCAAATGGCTTTTGGGGTACGTCCTGTTATTAGGCCGACTTACAAAAAGTCATATCCTGATTCGGTAGATCAGACATATCTGTGGCCTAGAGGGTACAAAGTGCCATAATTTTTATTATTCACTGGCCTAGGAGAAGTGTCTACTCTGGAACATATATTGCGATTTATACTGCAAAGTGGTGAAGTAACTGACT